ATACAAATTCAATAGATAATTAAAGACGTAATTCACAAAAGACAAATATAATGCACACATAGACAACTTTGGACCAAAATAATTGCTTACATAATTATCAGATCACTGGGATTAGTGCAGTGCTGTACAGTGTCACTTCAGTGTCATGGACTCATGTCGTCTTTCCAAGCTTTCCATCTTAAAAAGTTAAAATAGATCTACTAATATTAGGAATAAATTAAGAGTTGCAAATAGAATAGCATACTTCTACAAGCTACAACAATCAAATCATGATAAAATCAAATGAACGAGATCAATCCATGATCATTAAAGTCATTAATAAAACTCAAGTTATTATAAAATGGGTGGAATCTTAAAAATAAAACTTAATGCTACATATAAGCCATTACCTATATAACAGAACTACTTACACTGTGCATGATTTTAGAATATAAATCCACCCACGAACAGAAGGTAACAAACATGTACACAACAATTACATACATGCATAGGGGTAGGAACAAACTAAAAGTTGGGGGGCTAAGGTATTATTTATTGGCAATCATAGGAGCATGATTTAACAATTGATCATTGTACTGAAATTAATATTGTCCAAAATATTGGCATCTATGCTCATTAAATGTAACAAATTCCTTTGCAATGTCCTCGATGTATAAATCGTCTGTAAATTTTTTATGAGTATGCTAAATAACTACATGATTAAGACGCTCTTGTGACATTGTGGAGCACAAGTAGTTTTTTTATCTCCGTAACATCAAAAATCTACGCTCAGCTAAAGCTAATGTTGAAGCTTGTGTATTTCTGAAAAACTAGTGTGTTCTTAGAAGCTAGATTGTATTAATTGTTTTATGAAATGAATCATCACACAATATGCACACATGTAAGGATTACCTAAACTAAAGTCTATAGTGTTGATAATAGTAATACATGTATATCACTTAAAGTTGGAGGGGCTAAGCCCCCCTTCAATGAAAGTTGGGGGGCTTAAGCCCCTCCTGCCCCCCCTGTTCCTACCCCTATGCATACATGTACATTGACTAATGCAGTGGGTGGAATTGTGTGTACTAGCTTTAGATGTTTTGCTACAAAACACCACAAAAACAATCTTTAGATTATTAGTCATTATATAACAGTAATCATAAGAAATGCTAGTTGCATGGTCTATGCCTCAGGTGTGGTAGAAGGGTGTGTGTCAATCACTGTAAGACCAAAGCCGTTGTTGATTCTGAATGTAATGCCAAAGACCAAATACAAGGATTATTATTATAACGGACACTATCTAGTAGCAAAAGTACAATTGTTGACTCTAGCTCATTGTATAGGTAATGGGCCTGCATTCAGAGTCAGACTAAATACCAAAATTAGTTTTTAAGGTATCAAAATGCTATATAAAGCCACAAGCTTGCTTTGTCACCTTCACTTGAACGATAAAGAAGCAATCATGAGGGCCTTATCTGTTCTACTCATTATAGCAACTGTCATCTTGGTAGCTGCAGCCACCAACCGATACTCGGGAAGTTCCAAATATCGTTCAGGTAGTGGATACAGGTCAGGTGGATACAGGTCAGGTGGATACAGGTCAGGTGGATACAGGTCAGGCGGATACAGGTCAGGCGGATACAGGTCAGGCGGATACAGGTCAGGTGGATACAGGTCAGGCGGATATCGTACTGGAGGATATAGGACAGGTGGATATCAACAACATGGAAGTGGCTATGGATATGGTGGATGTAAGTATATCAAAGTTACTGCCATAATGATTTTCATTTCAATGATAGACAAGAAAGTTTCTTGTGTTAAACTCAGTAATCCTGCGAATGGTAATGTACAGCAAACAGGAACTGTACTTGGATCAAGAGCAACATACAGCTGCAATAAAGGTTTCGTACTTGTCGGAATTGAAAAAAGGGTTTGCTCCCGTAATGGAAAATGGTCTGGAGAAGCTCCAATCTGCAAACGTACGAGAAAAACTTTTATTAAATTATGTTTTACAATAATTAACATAGGTATCAACTGTGGACCTCTTCCAAATATTGCTAATGGACAAGTTCGTATTCATCCAGACACAAGACTGGGTAGCACTGCTACATATTCTTGTAATAAAGGATTTAATCTCAATGGACACAGAGTAAGAAGATGTCTTGCTAGCGGAAAATGGTCTGGATCAGAGCCATCTTGCTCACGTAAGCAAATCAGTAGCATTCAAATGAATAAATACTAATATCTTCTTTTCCCAACAGCTGTAAGTTGTGGAAGTCTCCCTCATCCTGAGAATGGATGGGTACACATTTCTCCAAACACTCTTTTCGGAGCTGTCGCTATATACAGGTGTAAACTAGGCTTCGAACTAAGCTCAAAGGACAGGAGACGCTGTCAAGCTAATGGACACTGGAGTGGCTCTGCTCCTACTTGCAATGGTATGCTACAAATTTCATATATAAACATAACAAGTAATTATTTTGTGCATTTAGAAATCAGTTGTGGTGAACCACCAGCACCTAATGAGAACAGCCAGATTGCTTCATCAGAGGGAACTTCACTTGGAGACAGAACCACTTACACATGTTCCACTGGTTTCTTTGCCGTTGGTACTACCACAATTTACTGTCAAAATGATGGGACGTATTCCGATGATGCTCCGATTTGTAAACGTAAGATAAACTAATTTATCTATGTTACATCAAAATTTCCCTGTAGCTGTTGATTGTGGTGCCCCTGATCCACCTGATCCCAATGGCTCAGTAGAAGTATCCTCAACCACATTTGGTGGCAGAGCACTCTACAAATGTAACCCTGGCTTCACTATTGTTGGCAAGGGAGTGTCCTTCTGTCTGGCTAATGGTGAATGGTCCAATGATGCCCCAGAATGCAAACGTAAGCTATATATAAAGCAATTAAATCATAAATATATTGTAATGCCACTTACTTTTTAGCTGTTAACTGTGGAGAAATCCCCAGTCCTAAGAATGGACGAGTTACTTTCTATCCAGGAACCACATTCCAATCAACTGCTACATTCACTTGCAGGAGAGGGTTCAGGCTAAGCGGTAGTAGGGTACGCACCTGTCAAGCTAACGGAAGCTGGTCAGGAAGACAGCCAACTTGCATAAGTATGCAATAACTTACATTGTATTTGAGTACTAAATATACATACCAAGTGTTTCAATGACTTAATTTTAATCCTGCATTGTCTGTTAGGGATTAAATGCCCAAAAGTATCACCTCCAAGATACGGAAAGGTGTATGCCAGTGGAAATTATCCAGGATCTTATTTACGCTATGACTGCATATACGGATATAGTCTCAGTGGTCCCAGCAAACGTGTGTGCCTTCCAAGTGGTCATTGGGATGGCAAAGAGCCCAAGTGTGTGAAGGATGAGTATGAATATGGCCACCCACAAAAATACCATTACGATGACAATGATGGATATTAAACAGTGATGAGTATTAAAGGACAATAAATATTTTGCTGTATATTATTATGATGTAACTTGACTTAAAATAAAATTATTGTTAAATATACAAATTCAATAGATAATTAAAGACGTAATTCACAAAAAACAAATATAATGCATGCATAGACAACTTTAGATTAAAACAATTGCTTACATAATTATCAAATCACTGAGATTAGTGCAGTGCGGTACAGTGTCACTTGTCAGTGTCATGGACTACTAATATAGTCTTTCCAAGCTTTCCATCTTGAAAGTTGAAATAGATCTACTAATATTAGGAATAAATCAAGAGTTGCAAATAAAATAGCATACTTCTCTACTAGCTACAACAATCAAATCATGATGAAATCAAAATGAACGAGATCAATTCATGATCATTGATACAATCAATGCTAAATTCCGTATATTATAAACTATACGGAAAACAAGTGGTGAAATCCGCCCACCTTTGTATAAATTTATGAGTCACCATCTGTTCCGTACACCAATCCGTATACTCGTACAAAATGAGCGACGTTTCAGATTCTGGGGTAGAGGCCATGGACACAACTGGTGACAGCCCTGACGATACAAAAGACAATAATAATGATGGTGAGCAGCATCCTCCACTTAGAGAGAAAAGAAAACCGAATATTAATAATATTATTGACATTATGTACATGTAAATGGGAGTGGTCATTGCCAATGAATACTTGAGTTGGGCTCTTCTTGTTCTTATAATAGAAGCTGAGGCTGGAATGGATGCAGCTGGCAATAAAGATGAACCAGAGGCTTCTAGTGGAGAGAATGAAAAGGAGGGAGGAGATGGAGGGGATTCAACTCCTAGTAATGGCGAGCCCCATGAAACTAGTGAGTCGCAGAGCGAGACTCAGAGCGAGCCGCCCCCAGTTCCTAGCTATGAGGTACAGAAGCAAGAGATACATCCATTATTGACGCAACGTCTAAAGAAAGGAGACAAATGGTAAGGAATGATGGGTGGGCACTAGTAACATTTTTTGTTCATGTACATGTACATGCACTTAATTAATTACATTTAAGTTAAAAATTTTAGTTCTTTTTACCAATCACTTGTATGTTCTTAAATGCATAATTAGCAGAAAGGAAGTACATATTGTACAGGGACTTGTTTATGCTTTGAAATAATCTGTTTGTGAAACTAAAAGGAGTGACACTGTAAACCTTTTCTTGCATAGTTATATTGTTTTAACACTAACACTTAAAATAAAATGAATGGTCGTTGATTTATAAACATATACTTACAAAAAGCAAATGTAAACATCAATGGATGGTGAAACTATATCATTACTACATGTACTGTACATGTACATGTATGTATGTACTGTATGTACATTTGTAGGTATCTTGTTGATCAGAAGTGGTTCAAGCAGTGGAAGAAGTACACAGGTTTTGATAGTTGGGATCAGCACACTGCTGGTGAGCCAGGTAGCAATCCAGGGCCTATAGATACCTCTAACCTATTTAAAGGTATGCTAGTTGCCACTTGTGCTGCTATAGCTTAATTGTGGTATTTTGTTGAATTTTTATTGCAAATGTACATATGTATATCATAAAATATGCAATGTGTATACTTTAGATCCATCAAAAGAAACTCTTAATGATCATTTGATGGAGGAATTAGATTATGCTCTGTTGCCTCAACCAGCATGGGAGAAACTGGTAGCATGGTATGGACTAGCAAGCACTTCAAAGCCTATATGCAGGTAATGTAATGGAATGGGAATGTAATGGAATGGGAATGTATAATGGAATGGGAACGTATAATGGAATGGGAATGTATAATGGAATGGGAATGTATAATGGAATGGGAATGTATAATGGAATGGGAATGTATAATGGAATGGGAATGTAATGGAATGGGGCACTTTAATATTTTTCATAGACTTAGACATTGTATAGTACATGCACATGTACATAATAGACTTTCTAGATGTACATTTTATTATTGTTTATTTTTCTTCCTTCCTTTAGAAATGTAGTGGAGTATGGGACTTATGTGAAGCACTTGAAAGTTGAAGTGTATCTTATTGACCTCAAACTGACTCTTCATCCTCACGCCAATGAGATCAAAACCCATTCATTCAGTCGTTCTGATACTATTAGTAAGTGCAATGGAGAGAAGAAGGGGAGAGAGAGGGGAGAGAGAGAGAGGGGAGGGGAGAGAGAGATGTGCGTGTGTAATTGTATTTATTTTATAGAAACTCTTCACGAGAAGTTGGTAGAAATTTTTGAAGTTTCCAATGACGAGGAGACTCGCCTCTGGCAGCGATACATGACCAATTCATACGAACTGCTCACCAACCAAAGTCAAACTGTATCAGATGCTGGAATATATGGAGGACAGGTACTGATTAATCTTGTATTAACTTTTAGAGAAAGAGGGAAATGGAGGGAGGGAAGCCTGAGTTTTATAAGATCAATTGCTTAATGTGATTGAATGTTATAATTACAGATGATTTTACTGGAAAAGAAGACTAAAGATGGACAATGGGCACGTTCATCGTAAGCTACCTACAGTACAACGACATGTACATGTATTATTATAAATTGAATCATACTTTAGGAGCTCACTGACTTCTACTACTAATACTTCTTCTTATTATACGAGAAGCTCTTCCGGTAGTCAAGGCTCCTCCTCCTACTCATCATCTTATAGTAGCTCTTATGGACGTGATCCAAGTTCACCTGGTCAGTTTAATTAATTAATAATTAATTAATTATTTATCGAATGCATCATTTGTAGCATAACTTGATTTTGATGGTATTAAGAATATTGTTGTGAATTAATTGCTATAGCCAATACCAATAATGTTATATTACTTGCATTTATTGTACTGTAGGTCTGTGTGGTCTGTCTAATTTGGGTAACACTTGTTTCATGAACTCTGCCCTACAGTGCCTTGGCAACACTAAACCACTAGTTGAATATTTTATAGGAAAAGAAGGAGAAGGTGCTTTAAATAATACATGTACACATACTGATGTACATGTACATGTACATGTAATACATTATGTATGTACATGTACATGTACATGTACATGTATAGGAGGATGCAATGGGAAAGAAGAGGAGTAACTGAGAGAGAGAGAGTAAATGCTTTAAATGACAATTAAAATGCGAATTTAAAGTTTATTAAATATTTTATACTTTTTGTTACAGCCGAGAAGCCATACAAGAAGCACATCAATAGGAACAATCCGTTAGGGATGGGCGGAGTCATTGCTGAAACATACGGGTCTCTATTAGACGAGATGTGGAATGGACAGAATTCCTATCTTGCACCTCGTCAGTTTAAAAACATCATTGGAAGACACGCCCCTCAATTCTCTGGCTACTCGCAGCATGACTCACACGAATTACTAGCTTTTCTATTGGATGGACTACACGAGGATCTGAATCTCGTTAAGAAGAAACCTTACGTTGATATGGACATTAAAACTGATGGAAGGGATGATAACGTTAGTCAATGAAGCAGTTTTGTAATACACTTGCAATAGTGATCTTATAATATTCATACTTTAATACTACACTCTGCCACTACCATACAAATGAATGCTATACAAATGTGTTGAATTGTTGTTTCATGTGTTTGTTATGTACATGTAGGATATTGCTAGAGAGACGTGGCTCAAGTACTTACAGCGCAATCAGTCAGTCATTGTTAGGCTATTTCAAGGACAACTGAAATCAACTCTTCACTGTCCAAAGTGTGACAAGGTCAGCTTGTACACTATACTGTAGTGATTAGTGACACAGTATTTTTATTGCTCAATTATTATCATTACTCTATCGCTTGTATGCTTTAATCGATGTGTGAATGTATTACTGATTTCAATGCAGGAGTCACGTATCTTTGATCCATTCATGTACCTTTCCTTGCCACTCCCAGTTCTCAATACAAGAGATATTGAGGTTTTCTTTGTCAGAACTGATCCATCAGCCAGCATGATGAAGGTACTACATGTATTATTATGTACATGCGTACATGTACTGTATCTATGCAATTATGCATGTATACATGTGCAGTGTACTATACAAGTTGATCATGCATATTGAACTTGTCTTTGTTATGTATCTTTGTCTGTTGTTAGTATCGTTTAGCAGTCCCTAAGAATGGAAGCATCATTCACTTGAAAGAGAAGATGCAGGCAGTGACTAGTGTTGATCCGTCCAATGTAAGGACCTTTTCTACATTATATCTACATTATTCTTTAATGCTCTGCACTTACAACATGTAGCTGGTTGTTATTGATGTCTATCACAGTCGGTTCCATCGCGTGTATTACGACAAAGACCCTATTAGTCACATTATGGATCGCGATGACATTTTCATATATGAGCTATGCAAACCTCTTGGAGACCAGGAATGGGTGCCCGTCCCCGTCTACATGAGAGAAATAAAGTGAGTTATTCAATAATGTTTGGGTGGGTCTAATTTTCTACATATTCATCTTCTTCCCATTACCTGTATATATTGTTCTCCTATAGGCATCATTCTTCTACTTCATATTTTGGCCAGAAACATGTGACTTCTTATGGTCAAGTGTTTGGACTCCCAGTCATTGTCACCGTCCCAAGGAAAGGCTGCACCTACAGGACACTCTATGAAACCATCTCCTCTCAGATATCTCGTGTTGTCCTTGAGCCTCAGAAGAAGAAGAAGACCAAGGAAGAAGCTGAGGGAGAAGGAGAGAAAGTGACAGCCGAGGAGGGTGAGAGTGCTGATAGTGAAATGAAAGAGACTCAGGAAGGCACTGTCCA